AAAAAAAAAAAAAAAAAAAAAAGAACGAAATTACCCGGGAATGGTGGCATGTGCCTGTAGTCCCAGCTATAGGTGGGAGGATCACCTGAGCCTAGCAAGTAGAGGCTGCAGTGAGCTAGTGTTCACACCAAGGCACTCCAGGCTGGGTGACAAAGCGAGACCCTGACTCAAAAACAAAAAAGAACAAAAAGGCCCTTCATCCTTCTCACACTCTCGATTTGTCTAATTATTTCCCGGTAACTGGATTCAGAGAAATTCTCATGGGGGCAGCACTGCTGGGCGCAGCTATGCCCTGCACTCATGCTCCATCACCAGACACTGGCAGATGGTTTGTTCAGAACCATGGGCCTGAGGCTGGTCACTTGGCTATGGTGTCTGCCAGATCGCTCCACTGTAGCAGATCCTTTTTTTTCTTCATACATAATGATAATCTGTGAGATTCCTGGGATTCCACGGTTTTACCAAGCCCAACCCCTTACAGCATTTCTCTCTCCAGTGCAGGCTGCAGTCTAGGTCCAGGGGTCACACGGGCCTGTCGTGTCTCCTTAGTCTTCCAAATCACACACAGTTCCTCAGCCTTTTTTGGTCTTTTGAAATACTGACATACTTGAATAGTTTTCCTCCCCCTTTAAAACCTAAACCAGATTGCATCCCCTTGTCTTAAAATGATCTTCTTTTCATCCTTTAGGCCTCAGGAATGGGTCATTTGTTTTGGGGGAGCCAGCCAATCAGTTATTCAACAAGTACTTACTGAGCGCCTGCTATATACTAAACACGCCCCTGTGCATGGGGATACAGCAGTAGCCCCTTCATGAATACTGTGTCCTAGGGAGGGAGAAAGGAGAAACATGGCAGTCCATGAACACTCAGTGACAACGCAGGCAAGATGGGAGGAGTAAGGCAGGGCAGGACTACCACAGGGCGGCCAGCAAAGGCCCGCTAACAAGGTGATTAACTGGAAGAGAAGCCTGAAGGGGCAGGAGATGGCTCCAAGCTGAGGAAATGACAAATACAGAGGCTGCAAAGTGGGGGCGTGTGGACAGGCGGTGCCCATAGGCGGGCTGTGGGCTGTGAAAACCAGAGGACACGCAAGGAATTCGGAACAGCTGGAAGGATGGAGCTGCCATTCCCCCAGCTGGTGAAGAGTCAGGGAGGGGCCTCAGGATCACAGGCAGTTGAAGGGCCTGCAGCCTTAGCATGCCCTGGGGCTGTCTGCAAGCTCCTTCCCCTGCCCTGCCTCCAGCCTCAGTCCAGTTCAGGAAGAGCTCCTTCTGTTCAGTCCTGGAGCAAAGAGGTAAGCAGATGGCACACTTATGAGAGGAACAGAGAGCTGGGGGTTGGGGGAGAGAGGGAGAACCCGCCGCAGTCACTGAGGCCCTGGTGGGAGCCGCGCTGGCACTTCCACTTCCTCCCTCCTCAGCTCCTCAACACTATCACATGCCTATGTGCTTATCTCCCATTTACAAACATGAAGAGATTTTGTTTTGAGAATTTAAACATTTCCAAATCTCCCTAGGAAGTGGCAGAGCCAATATTTGACCAGCCTTATCACTTGACCACCATAATAGAGAGAGAAAGAAAAAACAGGAAAACATGGGCTAATGCTGGACTGAGGCCCAAGCACAAGTGGCTGATCTGTTACCACGCACAGAGCCACAAAGACTAACGCGGTGTGACAGGTCCACATCCCAGTTGCGGGCCTTGGAACCCCTGAGTGCCCAGGGCCCCACGCTGCGAAGAGCACCTGTCAGCCTCGTCCAGGATGAGCACCTCGATGCTGCTCAGGTGAAAGGAAGGGCAGTTGTGGAGGTGATCAATGAGCCGGCCTGGGGTGGCGATGAGGATGTCAGGCGCTGCCCGGAGAGCCGCTTCCTGAGACTTCACATCTAAGCCACCTGCAAAGAGGACAGAGCCCCATCAGGGGGCCAGATCAGCTGTTCACAGGTGTTGACTGTGCATCAGCTGCTGGCCAGGCTTCAGGCCAGATACAGAGGAAACTGCAGAGAGTAAGGCTAACAAAAGGCCGGGCGTGGTCCCAGCACCTGGGAGGCCCAGGAGGGCGGATCACTTGAGATCAGGAGTTCGAGATCAGCCTGACCAACCAAGCTGGAGAAACACCATCTCTACTAAAAAGACAAAATTAATTGGGCCTGGTGGCACATGCCTGTAATCCCAGCTACTCGGGAGGCTGAGGCAGGAGAATCGCTGAAACTCGGGAGGCAGAGGTTGCAGTGAGCCAAGATCACACCATTGCACTCCAGCCTGGGCAACAGGAGCGAAACTCCCTCTCAAAAAAAGACCAACAAAGGCCCAAGCACATGGGTTTCCCAATACAATGGGAGAGACAGATTATGTAATTACAACTGTGGTAAGTATAAAAATAAAAAATGATGATGACACAAAGGCACTTCAGAAGAGAATGCATGGGCCAGGCACAGTGCCTCATGCCTGTAATCCCAGCACTTTGGGAGGCCGAGACAGGTGGATTACCTGAGGTCAGGAACTCGAGACCAGCCCAGCCAACATGGCAAAACTCCATCTCAACTAAAAATACAAAAATAAGCCAGGCATGGTAGTACAAGTCTGTAATCCCAGCTACTCGGAAAGCGGTGGGAGAATCACTTGAACCCAGGAGGCAGAGGTGGCAGTGAGCCAAGATCATGCCATTGCACTCCAGCCTGGGTGACAGAGCGAGACTTCCTCTGAAAAACAAAGAAGAGAATGCCTAAAACATCCAAGGACTAAGAGAAGCAGCTGCAGACAGTGATGAAGTCGGTTACAGGGAGACAAAGATCACTTCTGACTTCCAATTGTATAAGGAGGGCAAAATGCAGGCTATGTAACAGTATCGTATAACTTCAACAGAAAAACGCTGTCCCAAATAATGTTTCATTCATTATTCTCACGAAGCAGAAATTATATGCCAAATGTGTTCAGTACCAAGGAAAAAGTGTTCATAGTTTTCAGGTTTCATTTGTCAAGGTTGGTTAAGTCTCAATCAAATCTCACCTGCCTAAAGCACTATGAAAACCTGTCTTCCAGGGCCGGGTGCCGTGGCTCATGCCTGTAATCCCAGCACTTTGGGAGGTTGAGGCAGGTGGATTACGAGGTCAGGAGTTCAAGATCAGCCTGGTCATCATAGTGAAACCCCATCTCTACTAAAAATACAAAAAGTACCCGGGTGTGGTGGCACGCACCTATAATCCCAGCTACTCAGGAGGCTGAGACAGGAGAATCAATTGAACCCGGGAGGCAGAGGTTGCCATGAGCAGAGATCACCACTGCCTCTAGCCTGAGTGACAGAGTGAGACTCTGTCTCAAAAACAAAAAAAAAAGAAAACATGTCTTCCAGTTTTTAAGTGGATTCAATCAATACAAAGGCCTATCCTGGCACCCATCACCCACAGATGGCAGGGCACATCCATCCTCCATCCCACCATGGTCCCTCCGGGGCTGGCAGCCCTTGGCCAGAAACTTACCCACAGCCAGGCAGGTGGTGATGTTGCAGAACTGGGCCAGCTGTCTGGTGACAGAGTGCACCTGGATGCCCAGCTCCCGAGTGGGAACCAGCACCAGCACACGGGTGACTGGAGCCTGGCGGGGTTTGTAAATCAGACGCTCCAATACAGGAAGGGCAAAAGCAGCAGTTTTACCTGGAAGGAGGGGCAGCAAGGAAGCAATGAGAAGACATTCGGTTCCCTCCAGGGTTAGGTTTTCACCAGAGCACAGAAAAGCTACATATCGGTTCCCTCCAGGGTTAGGTTTTCACCAGAGCACAGAAAAGCTACATATCTGGTCAGGGGAGATGAAGGAAATTAATTTTCACAGAATATTTTTTCTGCTTTCAAATCACATGGTCAGGCTCACATAATAATCCCAGCACTTTGGGACGCCAAGACGGGTGGATCATCTGAGGTCAGGAGTTCAAGAAAAGCCTGGCCAACATAGTGAAGCCCCAACACTGCTATAAATAGAAAAAACTTAGCCGGGCATGGTGGCGGGAGCCTGTAATCCCAGCACTTTGTGAGGCTGAGACAGGCGAATCACCTGAGGTCAGGAGTTCGAGACCAGCCTTGCCAACATGGTAAAACCCCATCTCTACTAAATATACAAAAATTAGCCAGGCGTAGGGGTGGGCACCTGTAATCCCAACTACTCAGGAAGCTGAAGGAGATCTGCTTGAACCCGGAAGGTGGAGGTTGCATTGAGCCAAGATCACACCACTGCACTCCAGCCTGGGTGACAAGAGCAAAACTCTGTCTCAAAAAAAAAAAAAAAAAGAAAGAAATACAGCCGGGCGCAGTGGCTCACACCTGTAATCCCAGCACTTTGAGAGGCTGAGGCGGCTGTAACACTTGAGGTCAGGGGTTTGAGACCAGCCTGGCGAATGTGGTAAAACCCTGTCTCTACTAAAAAGGTAAATATTAGCTGGGCATGGTGGTGGGCACCTGTAAACCCAGCTACTGGGGAGGCTGAGGCAGGAGAATCACTTGAACACAGGAAGTGGGGGTTGCAGTAAACCACGGTTGGACCACTGCACTCCAGCCTGAGCAACAGAGTAACACTCTGTATCAAAAAAAAAAAAAATTAACCCTTCAGTAAACTGAATGAACTCTGGAGTCTAGGAAATACTGTGATATCACTGCCAGTTTCCTGGTTTTGATTTTATCCTACAGCTATGTGGGATGTCACAATGCTGAAGCATTCGAGAGACCTTATACACTATTTTTGTAACTTGCCATTGATCTACAAATACTTCAAAATAAAACAGTTAAAAATTTTAAAGTTTTTACTCTCTCTATTGTACTAGTATATCTTTCTAGTGTTAAAAAAAATGTTACGGCCAGGCCTAGTGGCTCATACCTGTAACCCCAGCACTTTGGGAGGCCAACATGGGAGGATCGCTTAAACCTGAACCTAGGAATTTGAGACCAGCCTGGACAACAAAGTGAGGCTCTCATCTCTACAAAATAAAAAATCAAAACAAAATGGTTGAAGAAACCAAGAATATTTAGCACACCAGCCTTTTGCTAAGTCAACCTAGAGCCCTGCCCTGGGTAACATCCTTCTGCCCACCCCGGGTCCCTGTCCTTTTTTACCTGTCCCAGTGGCTGCACAGGCACAGATGTCCTTCCCCAACAGACCCACAGGTATGCACGCCTTCTGGATCGGGGTGGGCTGCTTGAAGCCCATGGCTGTAATGGCCTGAGGAAAAAAGACTGGGTCAGACAAGGTTGAGCAGGGGAGGTCTCAGCATAATACAAACAGGGCAGGTTTCCAGACAAGTAGCAACCACGCCAAGCCCCACCAATCATTCATTCCACAAACATTCACTGAGCACCTACTACATGTGAGGTGCTGTTCTAGACACTGAGGACACAGCGGTAAATAAAAGAAATAAAAACCCTGCCCTCAGGAATCTTATAGTCTGGTAGAAACAGACCAAAAACCAAACACACATCATACGGAGATAAATGCCGTGGAAAATAACGCAGCTGTCAGAGGGGCAGGGCGGGGGGGCACGGGAGAGTGCAATTCATAGTAGGGCTGCCCAGGAAGGTCTCACTGAGCAAGGGATACGGAGTTGAACCCTGAAGGAAGTTACAGCGCACCCCAAAAGATTTCTGGAAGAATCTTCCAGGCAGAGGGAACATCAAGTGCAAGAGCCCTGAGGAAGAGGAGGCCTGACCTGTTTGTGGGCCAGCAAGGAGGCCAGTGTGGCCAGAGCAGAATGAGTGCCTGGAGGTGTCATCAGAGGGGGCCATAAGGGGCAGAGCCTTGTAGATCAATGTAAGGACTTGGGCTTTTAAGCCAAGTGAGACTGGGAGGTACTGAAGGGCTTAAGAGAAGAGGAGAGACGTGATAGAACTCATTGCTTAAGAGAATTCTCTGGCAACTGTGTGGACAAGAGAGGTGAGGGAGGCAAAGAGAGAAGCAGAAAGTCCAGTTAGGGGTGGCTGCAATCATCCCCTCGTTGCCAAAATAAGCCACTACTGGCCAGGCACAGTGGCTCAAAATCAGCACTTTGGGAGGTCGAGGCAGGAGGACTGCCTGATGCCAGGAATTTGAGACTAACTTGGGCAACATAGCAAGACCCTGCTTTTGCAAAAAAAAATTTTTACAAGAAGCTGCTACCTTCAGAAGAGGACGGGAAAGGTTCATGTCCTGGAATGAAAGGTTTTCATCATACTGAGATGCGTCTTCAAAAAATCCTCCTGCTTCCTATACCAGAAAACCAAGAGATGAGAATTCAACAAAAAGGGCCAAGAAAACCAAATGACCTTAAACTCCTTTCGGGTTGCCAATGCACTGCACAATGTTCTGCAGGCCCAAGCTCACCTGTCCCTTCTTCTTCTTTTTCCGATCCTTTACTTTGAGTGTATCTATGGAGAAAAATATAGCTGATGAACATGGCTCAGACTTACAACACACTTGCATTCTGCTGGACGCTGTCCTAAGTGCCAATGCCACACATCAGCCTCTGAAGAGTGACCATCAGCAGCCTCATTTCACAGATGAGGACACTTTGTGGCAGCATGGTGAAATGACTTGCCTAAGGTCAGAGAGAAAGCTAACCCAGTGACTCAGGTCCAGAGACCAGGCTCTCGACCACTACACTACATTACGATGCTTTATCACATATTTCTGCAAGAAATACTTATTTAGGGTGGGCACAGTGGCTCACACCTAAAATCCCTGCACTCTGGAAGGCCAAGCCGGGTGATCACCTGAGGTCAGGAGTTCAAGACCAGCCCGACCAATATGGTGACACCCCATCTCTACTAAAAATACAAAAATCCGGTGGCTCACGCCTGTAATCCTAGCACTTTGGGAGGCCGAGGTGGGTGGATCACCTGAGGTCAGGAGTTCAAGACCAGCCTGGCCATCATGGAGAAACCCCATCTTTAAATAAATAAATAAATATAAATTTAAAAAATAAATAAATACATAAAAATACAAAAATTAGCCAGGTGTGGTGGTGTGTGCCTGTAGTCCCAGCTACTTGGGAGGCTGAGACAGGAGAATTGCTTGAACCTGGGAGGCAGAGGTGGCGGTGAGCTGAAATTGCACCACTGCACTCCAGCCTGGGCAACAGAGTGAGACTCCATCTCAAAAAA